TCCTCGATGTGAAATTCTGGAATGAGACGTTATCATTATTTACACTGCTTACATTATGACTATTGTCCTCATTTTATCACAACGTTTCAGCCGGTGTGCTCTCCGGCTTCCGTCAGGTGTATATCGATCCCAGGTAACCTACAGCAATTCTGAACTGAACCTTTTATTTACTCTACGTGGGTAGACTGTTCTCGTTGCACTGCCTATATCTCGCGATATCTCGTCTAGTTCTTACTTTTAGTACTGCCCAGTTATTGCTAACCCCCCTCTTGTTGAGACTAAATCCAAGGACAGACTGATTGGACTCGCAGTTACTATGTCAACGAATTCACGAACCACCGTGGCTTCCCTCTGTCTCGTCGAACAATTCGCTGTAGATTACTCGGAGACTTAAACCTAACCTGACTGCTGATTAATTCTGTTGTGCTGCTTGTCATCCTTGACTGCACGCCTAACCGAAACTTTAAGTTGCCATATATGGTCTGGTGACCCCGCTGTTCATCTCGAGGTTCTCGACAAAATCCAAAGGCGGATATGCAATGTGATCGGTCCTGACTTAGGTTCTCGACCCCAGTCACTATGAAATATTTCCATGGCATCTACTCTGACGAGATATTTTCACTGGTGCTCCGACTGCATGAATTTAAGCGTGCTACTAGGTTGGTATCTCGGTCCCACAATTTTACTGTCGAAACAATGAAATGTAACCGTCTCTTCTGCTCCAACAGCTTCTTCGCTTGCACTTCCCGACAGTGGAACTCTCTTCTTCTTACTTGCTTCCCTGATAATTATAATCTTCAAAAATTTAAATGCAATGTCAATCGACATCTTCTGATGCCTTGATCTCCTTTCTTCTTTTTATCCTCCTCTGTTTCTCGTTTTGTGCTTTCCTCTATACCCAGTCTTTTCCCTTACTTACATTCTCTGTAGTCCCTTGCATACTAGTGGCACTCCCGCTGCTACTATTGAAGACTTCTTTCTTTAGTAGCGATTAAGATAAGGACAACAGTCCGAATGTAAATAGTGTCCAAGCTTTTCTCGCCTGAATCCCTCCTTCAAATCTATAAATCAACCATTCGTCCTTGCATCCAATACTGCTGCCATATATGGTCTAACCCTAACCCTGCCTAAGGAAGCTGACATGAAGTGGAAATATTATATAGAATCATTTACTAGTTCAGCTGCTTGCAAAGTTTGTTCACTGCGTCGTGCTAGACAATTTTGGCGACCGTACATTGGTTATTGCTATCACATCTGGTTTGGTACTTCTGCTATGTATTTAGTAATTCCTGATAAAATTTAAAGAAGAATTTGCAATGTTATCGGTCCTGAGCTGGCATCTCGGCTTCAGTCTTTTTTTCACCACCGTAACGTAGCTTCCCTGTGTCTTTTTTTTTATAAATATTTTCATGGTACTTGTTCTGATGAGTTTTCCTCTTTGTTTAGTTTCTTGTATATAAATTGTATTCATTGGAAATGCCGTATATACTCGCATATAGGCAACGAGTATACCGTTACTAACGATACTTTTATCATTCTCTTTTACTTTTTTTAAAAAATTAACTATAAAATGCGATAAAAAGATAGAGGAAACGAGGTTAGTCTATAGTGTTTTGGTCTCTCAAAAAAAGGAACTCACATGGTACAGGAAATACATGATAGTGACAGAAGCCGAGATGCCAGCTCAGGACCGATAACATTGCAGATTCTTGTTTGGATTTTAATGAAAATAGGCAAATATGCTGAATTGAAGATTAAAGTCATAAAAAGTCATATGTTACGTTGCGTTGAGGTAGAAAAAATGTAAAAAAAAAAACCATAAATTTACGATTTATTGATGTTGACATTTATAAGAGAGGACCAATAAGTCTGTAGCTTAACACGGGATTACTAGCTGAATTTTAGCTTTAAAGATTGACTGTATATTCATCGATATATACGATTAACATTCCCCACTGTATCGAGTGCATTGTCAAAGAAGGAGATTATGTTGAAAAATAAACTTTTTTTTTCTTTTTATCATTATACTACCTACTTATTGATGTACCTACATATGCGTATATATTAATGTAAATCGGTATGTTTGTAACATAACACGGATTTAGTCGCTGAATTTTAACCTGTAAATTTTCACAATATATTCTTCAATTTGTATAATTAATCTTCACCTCTAATCATTGTGTAATATTCACTTACTGATTTATGGAGAATATTTGGCTTAAGTGCGTTGACAAGAAAGGAGACTGTGTTGAAAATTATATTTTTGTTGTGTAAGATTAACAGTTTTTTTTTTATCATTAAGCTACGAACTTGTTGAAGTGTCCACGGAAATGCAGTGAAAAAGAAGAAAAAAAAAGAAATAGACATAAACTTATTCTAAAAATGTCTGTTCGGTTTATAAAAACAAACAGAATAAATATTTACATGATAAACCTGTGCCTAATTTGTTTTCATATCAAATAATTTCAGCTCGCGAGATAAACTTTAAAAGAACGAGAAATAAAAATGTAGTTATCTCCCTTTAATACAAACTGGTTAGCCTCTTTAATTTGATCGTTCCTGTGTCGAGATTTTCTCGTAAAAAAAAAAATAGATGTAAATAAAGTTTTCAATGCGTGATTAAAATACTTTTATGTTCATATAAATCAAACAACAGAATATCTAATAAATGTAATATATATGTAAATATTTCTTGTACTATAAACGTTATATTTAGAGGGTACAAATGTCATGTTCTTAAAAAAACATCATCAGACCTAGACAGTCATAAATTTCATATACAGCACCCGATTCGTTCAGAAATCTCTAACCTATCAGCTATATACAAACCTTTTTACAGATAATGCTTAAAAAGGCTTCAAACGAATATAATCATCAGATATTATGGACTGGCGATAAAGAATCACAAAGGACTTTACCAAATCAGAGAAACTACATCTCTTGAAGACTTTCAGCAGCGGCAAAAGTTAAAATGGATAGCGTATGTCTGACTCTTCATGTTATACCTTTACAAGAATTATATTTTTCTATTTCCCCTCGTGTTACGGGTTTGCAGTTTTCATATAGTCTTATCTTAAGGAGGCGGCCTGTTTCTCCTCTAGATTTCTTGCCACAGCTGCGTTGGATGGCGTACACACAGTTCTTAATCATGTTTTCCTCGATGGGACGTCTTTCTAGGAAGAGGTATCTGCGAAGTGTTGAACTTAATCTATGATATTGTGTTATTATTCGACCATGGTGAGAATTCGAACGCGAGTTTCATGGTCGACACGCTAACGTTGTAAGCATTCAGTGATTTAATAATAATAAAACTGATAATAAGATTCCCAAAAAGAAAATAAGAGTTATTCAGAAAGTGAATATAACCGAAAAAACATGGAGAACCGACCTGGTTATTTACAAAATCTAAAGCTGATTAGTTGTCTAAGCGTGGAAAACAAGATTCTCTCATTAATTTTTGTTTATCTTTTATTATTGAAATTTTCTCCAAAGATAAAATGCAAGGTTGCGAATGAAGTGAGTGGTTATAGAATCTTATGACGCGCAAGGATTTGGCTTTAGTAAAAGCGAGCATCAATCGGAATAAAGCCAGGAATCGTTTTTAGAATTCCTTTCCAAGAATTCAAGTGGTTGGGACAGTTTCTTGTAATGGAATAAAACTGGAAGCGTTTGCGAAGTGTGATGAAAATGAAAAATAGAAAAAAGAACTTTTTTTTTTATTTCTTCATTCTCATTCAAGAAGATATTCATTACGTTTGTTTCTTTCTCTGATGGGTAATCTTTGATGCCATCTTTGATGCCATCTTTGAATAGAGAATAATTGAAAACAACACGTTAAGATGAAACAAAAGATCACAAAGCGCCCAGCAAAATGACACCGATCAAGTTGCAGAAAGCCACTACCATGCAAGCAAAGAATTTAAGAAAAAAAACAGAAAAAGAAAAAAAAAACAGACGTTTTTGTCAATTAAAAATAAAAGTTTTGTAATTGTTTAAGAAAGACAATTTCCCTTTCTCGTTTATTTTTTTCTTTCCTTTTTTTTTTTCTCTCGCTTTTATAGAATGTAGAGACTGATTTTTTTTTTTTAATTAATAAAGAAAACATTGCAAAACAAGAATAAAATATGGCTGCCTACTTAGCGTTTTGGCGTTGCCTGCGAAAAAAACGAAACCAAGCGGGGTTTTTTTAACAGATTTAATATCAGTTTTCCTCTTTCTCTTTCTCTGCACAATAAACATTGAATATTATACGAAACACAGGTCAAGAGCTTCTCTGAGATAAATTACAAGCAAGGTTTCCTAATGTTCCCCAGAAAAAATTTCAAGGGTTGTACTTGAGTAATTTTATTTTATCATATCTTTTTTTTTTCATAATTAAACCATCTATTTGAAATAATATATTGCAATTTGTGAAACATGTCAGGGAATAGGAGAGGTCGGATTTGAATTTAATCTCCACCAGGAATATTTTACCTAAGAGTTGATCTGTGGTGACCTCAATATGTATTGGGTTCAGCCTAAGAGATACTAAAGGAAGCTTTGTACTCAACGTCAGCTCCGAACATCAAAAATTATTGGTGCATCGAGACCGAATCTAGATAACCCCATAGCCATCAAGAGCAGAAACGGACCTCCAAGTATATAGGTGGGTGCGTCTAGATAAACACAAAGTGAATCTATTTGAACAAAGATAGACCCACACAAGACAACTGGATGACAGAAAGTTATATAAAGGTGTGCTCAACGTGGAGAAAGGCGAGGGTAATCACAATCTTGTGAGAATAAGATCAAACGTTCGAAGAAAGTTCCCGAAACCACATTCCTCTTCATTGATGCCAGAAGTGAATATTTATTTTACGTATGAAACATTCACCGCCATATTGTATATTACAGACACATTAGCAAAATGACGGATTATCCGTTTTGGTGAACCAATGTTTGTCAGCTAATCAAAAATTCCATAACACACCTTTGACCATCTAATTAGGCGTCTTTCGGCT